TGAGAGCCGTGTACCACAGCAGCGGCGACTGCTTCAGCCCGTAGAGGCTCTTCAGCAGCTTGCACACCCGGCCGGTCCCGTCGTTGAAGTGGTCCGGCTGATACATGTACAGCACGCGGTCGAGCTTGCTCTGCAAAAAAGCGTTCTTCATGTCCAGCTGCATCAGGTTGAGGTCGAGGACGGCGACGATGCTGAGAAAATCCTCAGCGTGACGTAGCTGCTCACCGGCGCGTACGTCTCGTCGTAGTCAGCGCCATACACCTGCATGAAGCCTTTCACGACCAGCCTCGCCTTTTCGCGCTCGACAGTGTCGTCGATGCGGTACTTCGTTGTCAGCACCCACCGGTTCTTCATTATGTTCACCCCCAGCGGGCGTTCAACCAGCTCCCAAGTGCCCATGTTGATGAGGCTACAAATCTCCTCCTTCATGGCGGCCTTCACCGCCGGGCCCTTCCAGCTCGCCAACGCCTCCTTCACCGTCATGGTCGAAATGTCCCAACGGTGCTCTGGATCGGCGTGCATGTCGGGGTCGAGCTCCGAAAACTCCTCATCGTCCTCGGCGTCATCGTACGCCAGGTCGTCGTCGTCCACATCGTACACCGTGGTGAAGGCAGCAGGGACGAAGAAGTCGGGTGGCCTCCGAATTCGGCCCGACTTCCGAGATCCGGGCTGCACCTCCACCACGTCGCTCGATGTGCCTTCATCGAACTGCTCCCCTGTCGTCCGCTCCTCTGAAGCGAGCTCCGCGTTCGACGGCTCCACTGTCGACGGCTTCTCTGAAACGCGCTTCCCGTTCGAGAGCTCCCCTGCCAACTGCTCCGCGGTCGGCTTAGCCGCTGCCTGATCCCCTGTCAGCTGCCTGCTAGCCGCGGGCTCCTCCGCGGTCTCCTCCGCGGTCTCCTCCGCGGTATCCTCCGCGGTCTCCTTCGCGGTTTTCGCGGTGTCCTTCGTGGTGTCCTTCGCGGTGCCCGTCGCGGTTTTCTTCGCGGTCTCCTCCACGGTCCTCTTCTCCGCGACTGGCTCACGTCGGCCACCGGCGGTGCTCTTGGCCGGCGCCACAGGCGACGCCCCACGACTCCCCTCACCGCCGGAGGCCGACACCGGAGGAAGGCCACGCAGTTCGACGGGAAGGGGATGGGAAGAAGGGGCAGGAGATGGCGAGGCAGGGGCGACCGCGACATCCTCATCAGCCTGCTCACCGACCTCGGCGAGCAGAGGAAGCGTCGCCGTCGAGGTGTCCGTCGGCGGGTTGGCCCGCGTCCGCCCCGACGCGGGCCTGAATTCCGACTTCCACACCTCCAGCGACAGAGTTTCGTAGAACACCACGTCCGACGTGGTGACCACCCGGTTGTCGGCGATGTCAAGGAGCTCCCAGCCTTTGCTCTCCTCCGACACGCCGAGGTGAAGCCCCCACCGGGCCTTCGGCTTCAGCTTCCCACCGCGCTGCTGCTCAGGGACGAGAAATTGTGCCATGCAGCCCCACACCCGCACCAGTGACAGGTCGGGCTTCTGCCTGGTGAGAAGCTGGTATGGCGTCGTCCCCGCGGGCAGCGTCGACCGCTCCAGGCAGTTGCGAACCCAGACGGCCTGCCGCAGAGCGAGATGCCACCAGTGGTGTTGCACGCCCATGTGCAGCAGCATCGTCCGCACCGACTCTACCACCGTCCTCATCTCCCGCTCCGCCATGCCATTCTGCTGCGGGGTGTAGAGGCATGTCAAGTCGTGGATGATGCCCTTGCTGTCCACGAAGGCGGTGAAGTCCTTGCCGAGGAACTCCCCTCCGCGATCAGAGCGCAGTTGCAGCACCGAATGCTTCGCCTGCCACTCCACCAGCACCAACCACTTCTGGAACTCCAGCAGCACGTCCGACTTCTTGGCGACCGGCCGCACCCACACGTAGCGGGTCTTGCGGTCCTTCAGCAGCAGGAAGTACAAGCTTCCGTCCTTGGCAGCCACGCGAAATGGCCCGCACAAGTCAATGTGCAAGACGGCCAGGACATCGTCGGCTTCGGAGCCGTGGTCGGGGAAGGTGTGCCGCGCCAGCTTCCCGCCGACGCACGAAACACACGAGGAGTCGGTGCCAGACGCCGACGTGAGGTCCAGCCCAGTGGCGACCTCGTGCTTCGCCGAGCTCCGTATCGTGTCCATGCCAACATGCGCAAGCCTCGCGTGCAGCCTGTTCGGGGTTGCCTTCGTCGCCGAGACGATCGCCCGCAGAGCTACCTCCTCGTTCGCGGGCGTCGTCGCCTTTACCGTGCATGGGCGTAGGCCAGTGCAGAGGACCCGGCCGGTGTACGTCGCTCGACCGAGCACGTCCCCCGCCGCGGAGACGAGCAACATTCGATCGCCGTCGTCCTTCAGCGTCACCCCGCTCTCCTTCAGCTGGCCAGCCGAAAGCAGATTCGCCTGCACGCCCGGGACGTAGAGAACGTCGGAGATGAGCACTCGCTTCCCGGCCTCCCCTTGCAGCGCAACCGTGCCACGGCCGCGAACGTCCTGCAGCGCCCCATTGAAGCCACGCACATGTTTCACATCGCCGCTCGGCCCCAATTCGACGAAGGCCGCCTTCGTCCCCATCAGGTGGTGCGAGCAGCCGCTGTCGAGCAGGACCACCGCGGGGTTCGCCTGCACAGCTGCCGCCACCGCCTGGAAATCCTCGCCAGCTTCCGGCGCCAGCGAGACAGTCGGCTCCACGATACCGACCAGCGAGCACGACGCCTCCTTACCGTCTCGCCCTTTGCCACCTGTGGAAGAGTCGGCGTCCTTCGCCGAGGTCGATTTCGTCGACTGCTTTTCTTTTCGCGGTTGGTTTCCTCCTCGACGCGGATTACGGCTGCCAGAACTTCCGCGGCCTCCCTTCGCGTCGTCATCGTCAGAATCGCTGCGGTCGGGGCACTCGAAGGAGAGGTGATCGGGATCGCCGCACAGCCAGCATTCCCGACGTCGACAAGGTGACCTGGTAAGTTGACTCGATGAAATGCCACGCCCAGTGGCCAGCGTCGAGGTACTCCCTGCACGACTTCAGGGCGATCTGTACGCCCGACGAGCAGCACCGCGAAATGACCGTAAAGGTCAGCAGCTGCACGGCGCGAAATTCCGCTCGCAGGTCGGGGTAGTGCTCCTCCTGCGTCGCCACGGTTCCACGGGCGAAGCCAATCAGCCCGGCCATCTCCAGCTGGGGCTCGATGGCTTCCTTCCACGTGAGGATGTCGGGACGACCGACCAGCAGAGGGGTGACCGAGATCCTGTCCGGCGTAAAACTTGAAGTAGCCGTAACTCGGCGCATTCCTCCCGTGGTCACGTGTGTCGCCGACAATCGGCGCCAATTCACTTCGTCTGCCTCCGACGTAGTTTCGCGGGGCCCTTGCAGTCTGCGGACGACTGCATCCCATCGCGCCTGAACGCCGCAAACTTCATCGGTGTGAATCACACTCGCTGCTCGATGTGCCTCCCGCGCTGCTGCCGACTTGGCCACCACCCGCGTTGACGTCCCGCGAGTCGACGCCGCCCGCGTTGTTCACCCGGTCAAGGAGACGCAGGCCGAGAGGGGAGGGTGCTCCGTCGCCCACAAGGAGCGGATGCCAGCCTCGACGACCGTGCCAGGGGATGTCGGCCATACTCGTTGGCCTCGTGCTTTCTCCTCGCGTTCTCCACCCGTGCCTCCAGGGTGTCCACCACCCCTCCGTCACTCACGGCTCCTACCATAGTGACTACCGCACAGCTGCCGGTCTACGAACAAGCTAGGTGAGTGAGAAGTCAGCTAAACCAAAGGTTTCGTCGCAGTGTCGTCCACGCTCACCGCACCATGCGGAGATAACTAGTGCAACGGGAGCTAGACTACGGGCTAGGCACGGGGCAAGAGTGATCGTAGCGTTCGTTCCTTCCTTAGTCGTTCCTTGTGCTAACACTGCTTGCTAGTTCACGGGGGAAAAATTTGCAAGAGTTTCACTAGGAAAACGTGACAACAAAGTTCAGAATGATTGTATCAACATTGGCAACACTGACTACATCAGACCTAGCAAGGCTGCTGGTCCACTGCCAGCGCAGCATGGTCGACCGCGGGGCCAGCACGACTTGATCGACCGCGCTCCAGCAGAGCAGAGTCGCGGCTTGCCAACGTGCAAGAGTCCGCGGTGTGCAACGCTGCAGTATGTCGGATGCACAGCGTTGCATCCGCGGGACAACGGTGGCACCAGCTTCGCAGGTGCGGGCAGCTTGGGTTGGCGCCCAACTCCCCGTCACATGCCCACGCAGACACTCCGCCCGTGACGGCGCCCACCAGCCACGTCGACCTCGGGATACCACCCCCGAGATCGTCTTCGTAGACAACATCCCCGGCGACTTTCGCGCACAGTCGCCCGGGTATCCTGGTCGAACCGGGTATTTTCGCGGTCCTCCCGCGGTTTCTTTCGGCCACCGCGGTCCTCCCGCGGTTTTTGTGGCTCCACGTCCTCCGCGATTTCGTGGCTCCCACGGTCCACCGCGATTTCGTGGCTCCCACGGTCCACCGCGATTTCGTGGCTCCCACGGTCCACCGCGATTTCGTGGCTCCCACGGTCCACCACGATTTCGTGGCTCCCACGCTCGACCTCCGCCCAAGCGAGGACGGGGCCAAAACACAAATCCCGTTGACAGCGAGGCGCTTGGCAGAGACCGTAGACTGGCCGACGGAGGCTCCACTAGGTACCAGGAGGAAACGACCCAGTGAAGTTAGGTGGGCGGCGCAGCCAGATCTCCTCGTGCATAGGCTGCCCTGTAGGAAAGCAGTGCTGAAGTCAAGAGAGTGAAGCTCGTAGTCACATTGAGCGCGACGTGCAGCAAAACCCAAAGAAGTGGTCATCTTCGGGGTCGGGGAGAGGTCTGGAAGAAGTCAACTCCCTTTCGCTGACTGAAGCCCTCGAGCAACGTAACGCGCCTTGAAGACAGGCGGAGAACCCGGCGGCCGCTTCACCCTGAAAATCCACATGCCACTGACGATGTTCGCCCCAGGAGGGGGAACCTCATCGACATAAGTGGCTGTGGACTTCCAGGATGCCATCTCTTGCGTCCATGGCTGACTGCCACTGAGAGGAGTAAGGACCCTCTATCGCCTCTGCATAAGAGCGCGAGGTCGGGATGTCTGGTGCATCCGGGTCTCCCTCAGGTGCACTCAGCATGGACACGAGATGAGGTACAGCAGTTGCAAAGTACTCAAAGTCCTCCTGCCTGTCCTCAAGGACGTCCGTGCCAAGAGCACACTCACCCCCGACGGACGGAGGACACACAGACTCAGACACAGCAACAAGACTAGCGGCGTAGTCTAGACGACAGTGAGCAGCAAAGTCGACAAGCTCAGCAACTAAGGCAGACGCAGCAGTGGACTCAAAGGAAGGGTCAGTGACAACAGTAGCTAGTAGACGCGTGATGGTAGGGCTGGCAGCACGAAGTGAGTCACACTCGGGGTCCGGACCGTCAGAAAGGGAGGACGCAGGAGGAGACGGCAGAGGGACACGCAGTGGAACAGAGGAAGGACGAAGTGCCATCTGGTGCGTGCCGGGGACAGGAGGAGGACGCGGATGCGGAACACGACGACTAGTGCGAGTAGCGCGAACAGGCGACGCAGGGCGAGACGCAAGGCTCACGACGCTCAGCAAGACCTCAGGTCGGTCCAGTGTAAAGAGAAGGACCAGGCAGTGGGGAGGGCCGACGGTAACTGTGACTGCGACTGGAACAGGCGGTGGACACTCTAAGGGAGGAGTAGGACCAGTAGAAGGCGGAAGACCAAGAACCTGCTGAAGGAGTGGAACGAAGTACGGCCGCGACCGTGCAGCACCACCAGAACCAGCAAAGACGGCTCAAGCACCCCCCAGCTCCAGGGGTCTCCAGCTCCAACTCTTGCAGCACCACTAGCTCCAGCACTAGCAGCACCACCAGGCAGGAACAGCTTCCAGCGCCTCCAGCTCCAACTCGTGCAGCACCACCAGCAGGAACAGCTCCAGCGCCTCCCAGCTCCAACTCCTGCAGCAGCCACATGCAGGAACAGCTCCAGCGCCTCCAGCTCCAAGTCCTGCAGCACCACCAGCTCCAGCACCAGCAGCACCTACAGCAAGAAACAGCTCCAGCGCCTCCAGCTCCACTCCTGTAAGTACCACCAGCCCCATCAGCTCCAGTACCAGCACCTCCGTGACCAGCGGCTCCAGTACCTCCAGCAGCTCTAGCAGCAGCAGGAACTCCAGCTCCAGTAGTACGGCTCCAGCGCCGAGCAAACCACTCGCGCAACCTGCGGTGGAGAGAGTGGCTCTCGCCGGGACAAGACACCCGGACCACCTCCAAAGGACAAAGTACCTCTAGGCTCAGCACGCTCAGGCTCAGCACGCTCAGGCTCAGCACCCCCAGGCTCCAAACGCTCAGGCTCAGCACCCCCAGGCTCCGCACCCTCAGACTCAGCAACCCAGGCCTCAGCACCCCCAGGCTCCGCACGCTCACGCTCAGCACCCCCAGGCCCCGCACCCGCAGGCTCAGCACACCCAGAGGCCCCGTACCAGTAGGCTCAGCACCCCTTGCAGTACCAGAGTCGACAGCTACCTCGACAGGCTTGACAGGGTCTACCTGGGACACACGTGAGGGGGCAGGACCCTGAGGGGGAGGGGGTCCTACCGGAGGAGGACCTGGTGCTAGGAAGAGCGGCGAGAGGGGGAAGGGGGGCAGTGCGGTAGGGGAAGAGACGGTAGTAGGGAACCGACGTCCTAAGAGGACAGAACACGGCGCAAGGTGGGGTGGTAAAACTGCCAGCCAGGCGCATCAGGGGGGAAGCCAAGGAAGACGCAGGGAACAACACGGGAGGACAGCTTGTCCGCGGAAGAATCGCGGACAAAAGCTCAAGATCCCCAGACACGGGAAAACAGACGCATCGCCAACCTTCCCCGTCCACCGCAGAGCAGGTGTGGTCTCCGGAACGGAGACACGGGGCTGGAGGTTGAGCTGATGCGCAGCGTACTGAACCGCGAATGGCCACAGAAAATGGGGAGCAGCCGCATGGATCATGGACGTACGAGCGACGTCCATGACCATGCCAATGCGGCGCTCAGCAATCCCATTTTGCTGTGGGGAGGCCGGAAGCGTGAACGTCTGGCGGATGCCCTCCGCACGACAAAAGGCCTGCAGAAGGTCGGAGGAAAACTCTCCACCTCTGTCATAGTGCAGACGTAGAACAGGAAGGTCCGAGCCAAAACTCTCGCTGAGCTGGCGACGGGCAGCGCGGATCCAGTCGATCAGCACCTCAGTGACCTCACCCTTGCGACGCAAGGGGAAGACTGTGGTGTAACGCGAGTAGTCGTCAACGACCAGCAAGAAGTAACGCTCGAGACCCTGTCCACGGACGCGGGCTGGGCCCCACACGTCCATGTAGAGTCTGCAGGGGAGCCTCCGTCGGAGGGAACTCGGAGGAGTGAGGAGCGGCGCGCTGCCGTCCCTCGATGCAAGGAACGCAGGTAGGGGCAGGCCCCGGTGGGAGGGGAGGGAGAGACCGGGAGAGACCAGTGACAAGGACACGGGAGGCCATACCTTGAAGACGAGGCAGGGAGGGGTGACCAAGCCGGTGGTGCCAAAGGAGAGTCAGGTGTGACAGGAGACGACATGAGCAGGGGGCAGACTCCGGACCAGACCTGGACGCAGCAGCAAACACCTGACCAGACGCGGCTACCTGACCAGACGCAGTAACTGGAGGGGACGCAGTAGTCAGGGTGTACAGGCTCGACCCAGGCTGACGGGTAAACGTGGCGAGGTGGCGGCCTATTCCGAGTACACGTGCAGTGGGCCACCCGCTAACCACCAGGAGTGAACTGGTCAACCCACACGTCCTAGAGGTCAGCTCCACTCACCAAGATCGTAGAGAATGAGGGGAGGTGGAGACCCGACAGTGAGCCAGACGGGACCGCCGGACACGGCAGAACAGTAGAGGAGTGTGCAAGGACTGGGCCCCCAGAGGGGTTCGCCAGGGAGACAGCAACCGGCCGACTGGGCGGTGTGAGTGTGGTGCTGTCGCGAAAGAAAGAGCGGGAAGCACCGTAGTCAAGAGTGAAAGTGTGCAAGGCCTCAGCACGCGCACTACCTGAGAGAGCAGACTCACCAGCACCTGGAGCAGCAGGCTCACCAGTACCTGGAGTAGCAGACTCACTAGCACCAGAGCAGCAGCCTCTATACCTGGGTCAGGCGGCACACACAGGTAACAGTCACCCTCAGCACTAATAGTCACAGCATACATGGCAGCAAGGATAGCATCATAATCAAGATCAAAGATAGCAACACCAAACTTAAGCAGATCAGCCTAGCGAGGGAGCTCAGTAGCGTCAGAAAACTGTGCGCGCCAGGCGTTAGTCAGGCGACCGAAACAGCGCTGCGTAGCGTGTGGCAGCCCGCACGTCTCCCCACGGTGGTCGCCTGTGCGGAGAACTTAAGCGCAGGGACCAGTACCCCCAGACCTCCCATGCCCAGCTACCACTCACGAAGCTGCTGGAGCGACGGGGCCTCACGGGAACGCGGCTGCTGCTGGCGCTGGCCACCGCCAAAGCCTGCACGCTGCACGACTCCACCCCGACCAGCACCGCCGCCGCCGCCACCCCCCTTTGCCGATGCCGCCGCGGCCTCTACCTCCACCGCCGCCACCGACGCCCCCACTCCCGCCTCCACCCCCACCTCCACTCCCATCCCCTCCACCTCCTCCACCGCCACCACCGCCGCCCCCGCCGTGCTCTCCACCACCCTTGCCCCCCCTGCCCTTGCCGCTGCAGCGCCTCCCACTAGGAGCAGACGCAGCCCCGACCGCCTCGGTGCCAACGAGGTCGATAGTAGCAGCAGAAGCAACAGAGGGCATAAGGGGAACGGGGGAGCACCCCTCAAAGAAAGGGGCGCGAGGGTCGCCTCGAGACACTCCTACAGCGACTATGCTAGTCTCAACTGCAAGGAGGCGCTCCCCAAGCAGGTCGACGGTGAGCTCAGTGGGGCAAAGGGAGAGAAAGTGGTCCCTGACTGAGCGGAGAGAGTCAGGGAGACGGGTGACTAGGTAGAAGAGGGTGATGTACTTGGGGGGGGGGGGGGGGGGGGGGGGGGGGGGGGGGGGGGGGTTCTTGGCGCGAAACTCGGAGGGAAGCGCAGCGCTGTAGCGGGTGTGACTAGTGCGGAGGTGAGTGATGAGGTTGTCAGAATAGTAGGCAGAACGAGGAGCCATAACTAGAGTTTGGGCTAGTTAGGCAAGAGAGAATAAGCAAAAGGAGGCGTTTCACTAGCAAGCAGGTGGATACATATAGGAAACCCTAAGGGGCCGTACTCACTATAGAGTACCACACTGCAGGCTAGAGAAACTACACATTCTGACACACCCCCATAGTCAAAGTGGGGTATGATCAGCACAACAAGCGGCAGTTCATTGTTTACAAATATAAGCAAAGCTAGAGGCTATCACAGAGGGCAAGTGAGGAGGAGGGACTATGAGAGGAGAGGAGGTAGTGGGCGGCAGCTGAAGCTGCTGGCACACGGCGCAACTGGAGCAACTGGCACATGGGCAACTGGAGTAACTGGCTCCGCGACTAGACGAGCTGCAGGAGCAACTGACTCTCGGGCGACTGGAGCAACCGGCTCACGGGCGAATGGAGCGACGGGCTCACGGGCGACTGGCGCAACGGTCTCACGGGCGACTAGAGCTGCTGGCTTCACGGCGGCCACCCCCCTTCAACCTCCCCCTTTGTCCCAAAACTCCCGTTCACACACCCCTTGCTGCACCCCTAGCTTCACTCCCACGACACCCCCCTAGCACCACTCCTTCGGCTCCCACACACCCACCCCCCTCAGCGGCAGCTGCAGCAGTGGGAGACGGAGTGGAGGATGAGCAGGGGACGGCGCACACACCCGCCACCCCCACACCCGCCATCCCATACCCTAAATGCAGGTGGCGCACGGGTCCCTAGGGCGCTGCGATGGGCGACGGGAAGGGCGGCGCGCAGCCCCCCGGGGCGCTTCGACGGGCGACGAGAGGGAGGGGCGACGCGCGGGCCCCCAGGGCGCCGCGGCGGGCGACGGGAAGGGCGGCGCGCAGGCCCCCGGGGCGCTTCGACGGGCGACGGGAGGAGGGGCGACGCGCGGGCCCCCGGGACGCGACGACGGGCGACGGGAGGGGGGGACGCGCGGGCCCCCGGGGCGCCACGACGGGCGACGAGAGGAGGGGCGACGCGCGGGCCCCCAGGACGCGACGACGGGCGACGGGGTCACGGTAATGGATGTGCACAAGTGTGAGCCAATATAGACAGGGATAAAAACCAAACTGGTGTGGAAAGGAATGAGCATAAAATCACAAACAAATATAGAGTCTTCGAGCATATTGTAATGCAGAACTGAGGGTGGGGCTGTATTCAAACTTCTTATGAGCAAGTTCATGCACGATGAGGTGGGTGGGGTGGAGCTGCATCATACGCTCTGACCCCTACTCGACCTGGGCAGAAATTATTTATCCTTCACAACTGGAAGACCACTAATGCGGTTGCAACAGCAATGTCAAAAGCCGTCCCTGACGCCATAGCAGCTCAAGGAACATGTGCCGCAACACGTGGGAAAGCAGTGCAATGCGAGAAGCAGTTCCTGATAGCCATGGTGACTTGCAGATGCTTTGGCAAGCAGGCAGCCACCGAAGCGATCACACGCCCACCTTCACCACACCAACAGCCCGAAAATATGAGGCTGGAGAAGGGACAGTTGCTGCAACCTCCGATGGGCTGCAAAGGTCCAAGAAGCCACGTCAGTCTGAACCCCCTCGCCCTCACTTCAGAATGCCCTTCGAGACAAGAACCTACCATCGTTGTGTTTCATTGCAGAGTAGAATGGATGGCTCATTCTCCCCTGCCTCGGGGCCTGCTTGCGTGGCGGATCCCCTGGTTGGGCGTGAGTACCTTCTGCTTGCTAGACGAGTGCTAGGACAACACAGCAATAGTACATTTGTTTTGCAACGCCTCAACGAATGTACATTATCACATGCACCTGGGCTTGGCATGGCTTGGCTTGGCGTGGCTTGGCTTGGCTTGGCTTGTCTTGGCTGAATCTTGGCATGGGCGGGACTGTTGGCCTGGCATGGCAGCTTTATGGTCCACCAAGGTGTGTCGGGAAATGTGCATGGTGAACGCTATTGGGCGCCACATGGCAAGGCAAAAGTATGGACCCTTCACTTGCACGTGGCCTGAAGGTTGCAGCGGCACAACTCACATTGTGGGTATGATATTGGGCGGCAGGGATCCCTCCAGGTCGTTGTGGCTTAGGTTGCTGAGAATAATCAGTCAAGAAAAATACATTTTAGCATCACGATGTTGCCATGTTTCTGCGGATGCTACGAATAGCTGATATGCAAAAGGCTTTCATGTGATCAGGTAATGTATTGCAAAATCAGGAACACCATGGAGTGCAGTGGGGAAATGAGTATGCATTGAGTCAAGTAGAGTCAGACCCCGATCATGTGTATACTTGAGCCCATGCAGTAGGGCCGACTCAAGTCAATTTATATGACTCACTATTCACATAAGAGAGTGAATCAAGCACATGATCAAGCACCTGAATATAGTATGTGGACCAAAACACGTACGTGTTATCTAGTGCCCTTGCGGGAGAGGCAGTCTTGAAGATGTTATCATTGAGGCGATCTCGCCAGATTTGGACAAGAGGCGGTACACCAAATGGCGAATAAAGGTCGACTCCTTGTGGACTGTGCACCCCACTTCCAGACAACGTTGCACTCGTCGCCAAGAGAGTGGTGGATTCTTGTGTGGCCCGTCCCCTCTCCCCATCTGCCAAGCCTTTTCTTTAACTCCCTCTCTCTTGCTGAGGTCAATGGGAACTTAATAGCTGAGGTCTCGGGACTTACAGAGTTGTGAGAACGGTTGAAAGGGCAGTAGGCATGATGGTGCGGTGATTATGAGAGAGGTCTCTGCACGCACTCATGGAATGTAGAAGGGCCGAGGTGTGGAGGAGAGGAGGAGACATGCACGCTGAGGTAGGAGCGAGAATGCGTGAGTGTCACACGCTAGGAAGCCAGGCGGTTTGGAACAGCTCCAGTATTGTAGGAGCACGAATCATGGTTGTGACCAAAAGGTGCATGAGGCATCGTCATACTAGGATGGTGCCTGGGAAGACATCCTAGTGCGATAACGATCCACGCCCATCTAAAGCTATTGAATTCAACGGAACCCAATGAATTACCAGCTAACCAAAACACGAATGCACTACCGAAGTAGCGGCAGGAGGACCTGAAGGGGTGTCTGCAGAAAGCTTCCGCAAGCAGAAACACCATACGTAGGGAAACTTCGCCCGTCAATTCCGTTTGGTTTAAATCCCTTTCAATCTAAACCACTCGTATACGCATGTGAGGCGAGGCAGGCCTTGGAGAGTCTGGAGACTCACAAGGTTTGCAGGGTTGCGTCAATGAAGGCAGGAACGGCGTCAATGAAGGCAGGAACAGCGTCAGTGAAGGCAGGAACGGCGCCGGTGAGATTGTTGAAGGAGAGCCCCATGTGGTGTGCGGAGACAGGAGCGTGTGGGGAGATGCCAACGAACGCATGTGCGGCGAGGGGCCAAGGCACATAGGTTTGAGGAGGGGCCAAGGTGCGGAGATAATTTTATCAACGAGATCTAGACTACGGGCTAGGCACGGGTGCTCGTGTAATCTCTGCGTTCATTCCTTAGTCGTTTTCCTAGTGCACACACAGCTTGCTAGTTCACGGGGAGAATTGGCAAGAGTTTCACTAGAGAAAGTTGACAACAATGGTACACACAAGATGACAAGACTAGACTGCATCAGAGCTAGGATGCAAACAGGACGACTGCTAGCACAGCATGGTCGACCGCGTGCCAGCACGACTTGGTCGACCGTGCTCCAGCAGTGCAAAGTCGCGGCTTGCCAACGCAGAAGGTCGACGGCGTGCCAACACCGCAAGTCGACGGTGGCCAGCGTTGCTCCCGCAGTACAGCACCGCACCAGCTTCGCAGGTGCTCGTAGATGATTGGCGTGCTTTGCCTCGTCACCTGCACAGCGCACACATCACATTATCCTCGTGCTGACGAGTGCATCTGATCAGCCACGTCGACCTCGGAATACCACCACCGAGGTCGGTCTCGCCACTACCACCTGGGCGACTGTCGCACTCCTCCGCAGAACCTCGTCGCCCAGGTAACCTGGTCGACCGGGCAACCACGTCGACCAGCTGCTCCTGTATGTGCCCGTCGATCTCCCAAGTCGACAGCCACCTCAAGTCGACCTCCCCAGGTCGACTACACCCTTGGTCGACCAGCTTTAGGTCGACGTCACTCCTGGTCGACTAGCTCCACGTCGACCAACACACTTGTCAGCCGACCACCCAAGTCGGCTATCCGAAGTCGGCGTCACCATGTTGACGCCTTGCTGCTCGACGCCTTGCTGCTCGGCGTCCTGGGTCTCCCCTGTCGTGGTCGACGTCGGCCCCTCCTCCATCGATCACCAAGTCGGGTCGACTACCAAGTCGACAACACTCGTCGACCTACCACCAGGCCGACCAGCGGTCATGTCAGCCGACCACCTGAGCCGGCTGCCCCAAGTCGGCGCCACCAAGTCGACGCCCTCCGTTGGTCGACTTCCCAGGTCGACCTCCCCGAAGTCGGCGCCACCCTGAAGTCGGCGCCCGTGCAGGTCGACCAACCCCGTCAACCAGTTAGCCCACTGCTGCCGGTCGGCTGCTCCCCTCACACCCGACCACGAAGTCGGCTCCGTCCAAGCAAGGAGGGGGCCAAACTCAACTCCCGTTGACATTCCCCTACCGCGTTCACGCTTGGGCCCCCAGCCCGTACGGCAGTACTCCTCAGAGAATAGCTCGTTGGCGTGCACCCAACACACAGCACGTCGTCCACCGCACCAGCCATGCAAGAGGGCATGCCACCTAATGCTGCACGTCGTCGTCGCCGTCGCCCACGTCGGCCAGACGCACTTGGCCGATTGCAACGGAGCACTGGTTGAAGGCCGGAAATTGCAGCGCCTTTGTCAGGAAGTCGGGCGGCTGCTCAGCGGTCGGGATGTACTTCAGAGAAAACTTCCCTCGCTTCACCATATGTTGCAGCCAGGCCTTTAGCCGCTCCATGTGCTTGAGGTTGCCTGTCAACCCCATGCCCTCGGCGATCGTGATGGCCGACTTGTTGTCCACCCGGAGGATGGTCGGCTTCCCGGCATCCAGCTGTCGGAACTCCGCAAGGAGGAAGCGAAGACGACGTCTCTCCTTGCCAGATTCAGTGGCCGCCACGTACTCTGACTCTGTCGACGACACCGTAGCGCACTTGATACGCTGGCTCGACCAGGAGACGGCGGCCTCTCCGTAGACGAACACGTAGCCTCACGTGCTCGTCCGCGTCTGCTTGTCACCGACGTCGTCGCCGTCCACTTAGCCAACAAGCTCGAGCGACTCTGGTCCACCGCCAAACTCCAAGGTAGTATCACGCGTGGTGGCCAGTGCTGGTCGCCCCTCACCGTGAGGCCGCTCCCCCGCCCCTCCCTCTGCCTTGCCTTGCCATCTTTGGAGTGCCTTGAAAGACCATCCGTCCTGCTTGCTGCCACTTCCGAGATCCGGGCTGCACCTCCACCACGTCGCTCGATGTGCCTTCATCGAACTGCTCCCCTGTCGTCCGCTCCTCTGAAGCGAGCTCCGCGTTCGACGGCTCCACTGTCGACGGCTTCTCTGAAACGCGCTTCCCGTTCGAGAGCTCCCCTGCCAACTGCTCCGCGGTCGGCTTAGCCGCTGCCTGATCCCCTGTCAGCTGCCTGCTAGCCGCGGGCTCCTCCGCGGTCTCCTCCGCGGTCTCCTCCGCGGTATCCTCCGCGGTCTCCTTCGCGGTTTTCGCGGTGTCCTTCGTGGTGTCCTTCGCGGTGCCCGTCGCGGTTTTCTTCGCGGTCTCCTCCACGGTCCTCTTCTCCGCGACTGGCTCACGTCGGCCACCGGCGGTGCTCTTGGCCGGCGCCACAGGCGACGCCCCACGACTCCCCTCACCGCCGGAGGCCGACACCGGAGGAAGGCCACGCAGTTCGACGGGAAGGGGATGGGAAGAAGGGGCAGGAGATGGCGAGGCAGGGGCGACCGCGACATCCTCATCAGCCTGCTCACCGACCTCGGCGAGCAGAGGAAGCGTCGCCGTCGAGGTGTCCGTCGGCGGGTTGGCCCGCGTCCGCCCCGACGCGGGCCTGAATTCCGACTTCCACACCTCCAGCGACAGAGTTTCGTAGAACACCACGTCCGACGTGGTGACCACCCGGTTGTCGGCGATGTCAAGGAGCTCCCAGCCTTTGCTCTCCTCCGACACGCCGAGGTGAAGCCCCCACCGGGCCTTCGGCTTCAGCTTCCCACCGCGCTGCTGCTCAGGGACGAGAAATTGTGCCATGCAGCCCCACACCCGCACCAGTGACAGGTCGGGCTTCTGCCT